TATGTAGTTCAAACTGGTATTGAACACACTTTGTAACTTAGTCTGGCCTCAAACTCACAGCAGTTCTCCGGGGCGTGTGCCACTATGCCCAGCTAAGTGCTGCTTTGTTTGCATTCTCTCTCTCTCTCTCTTTTTTTTTTTTTTTTCCGGTACTGACAGTTGATCCCACACTGAGTTACATCCTCAGCCCTCTTATTTTTTATTTTGAGGCAAGACTCCCTGAAGTCACTAAGTTGCCCAGGCTAGGTTCAAATTTGTATTTCTGCCTCAGCCTTCCAGAGTACATAGATTATAGCTTTATGCCACTGTGCTCAGCTCTATATGTTTCAATGTCCAGTATTTTTGCTATCATTTAGCTCTCAGTGTTGTTTAGTTTTCACTATGCTTTCTATGGTATATGATGTAGAGATTTATGTTTTTGTTTTCAATTATATGAGGAATACTTTGCCTTTTTAAATGTCTTAATTAAATTGCTTGGTAATCAAACAGGTGGCAGTTACTTTGAAATTGTTGAGACTTGCTTTAAGAGATCTATGTGGTCAGTGTTTTACATGCCTTCTATGTTCGAGGGAAATGCATATTCTTTACTGAATGCTGGCTGTACGATTCTGGATGATAGATATATTTTTGTTGTATTTGACTTCTGGTTTTTTTTTTTAAGAGGTCTACTAAGTGCATATTTGTTTTGTTTTTTTGAGACAGGGTCTCACTATATAGTTCAGACTGGCCTTGAACCTACTATGTAGCCTAGGTTGGCCTCGAACTCATGGTGATCCTCCTGCCTTAGCTTTAAGTGACTATTTATTGCAGGTCATTTTTTTAAAGAGTCTTACTGAAAGAAAGGAAGGTTCTGTCTAAGAGGGTCCTGAGTGGGTGCCCCGTCTTTTTTTTTCTGGAGGCTTTTTGTTTTTGGTCTTTGATAGTTTGCAGTTACCTTATGTAGGTATATACTTCATATTTGCCTAGCTTAATATATAGTTTCCTATATCTGTGAGTTTGTATTTTCATTTCTGGAAAAATTGTTAGCTGTTGTGTCTGATGATGCCTCGTCATCATTCTCTAGTCTTTTAGGACTATGAAGTATCATGTCATATCTTTTAATTTTCTTCTTTATGTCTCTTAACCTTTTTGTTTCCTACTTGTTCATTTGTCCTGCAGTTTACATTTCATCAGAACTACCTTCTAATCTAAAAATTCTATTTGTAGCTGTGTCTGATTTGCTGTTTTCATCTGTTTATTGTTTCTCGTTTCATAGAGAATTTTTTTCCTGAAAGTTGTATCTGATTCATTTTGTTCTGCTTTGAGACAGTCCTACTGTGTAATTCAGGCTGGCCTCAAACTTGATGTAATCCTCTTGCCTCAGGCTCTGAGTGCTGGCGTTATGGTTTATGCCATCATGCCTGATACTCCATTCCTTTTGGATCTGCCTAATCATTTTGTAACAGGTTCTTTCACACATATTTATTGAGTATCTATTATGTACCAGGCACTGTTCTAGGAGGTAGGCATTAATGCTTTGGTATTCCCTGCCATTTTTTTATTCATTGAAATAAAATTCACAAAACATAAAATTCACCATTTTAGCCTTTTAAAAGCATGTAGTTCAGTAGTTCTTAGTAGACTGACAAAGTTGTGTAGCTATCACCACTATCTAATTCTAGAAAATTTTCATTATGCCAGAAAAAAAAAACCTCTTGTACCCCTTAAGCATTCATTGTGCATTCTTCCCTTCCCCAGGTCTCTGGAACTATGGATCTGTGTATTCTAGACACTTTTTTTTTTGTCTTTTTGAGACAAGTCTTGCCATGTAGTTCAGGCTGACCTTGAGCTCACTTTGTAGCCTTGGCTGGTCTCAAACTCGCAACAGTCCTCTTGCCTCAGCCTCCCGAGTTATTCTAGACATTTTATAATAATAGAACAAGGCCTTTTGTGCCTGGCTTTTATTGGGTATTATACTTTCAAGTTTCAGCCATGTTGTAATGTATACCAGTATTTCATTTCATTCTGCTGATGAATATTAATTTGTTATGGTATATAGGTAATGTCACATTTTGTCTATTAGTTTTTCCACTTTTTTATTATCATTATTATTTTGAGACAGGGTCTTACTATGCAGTGTAGGCTAGCTTTGAACTGTCTATGTAGCCCAGGCTACAGGGCAGTCCTCCTGCCTCAACTTCCTGAGTGCTGAAATTATAGGTATGTACTATCTCGTCTGGCTACACTTTTTGATTGTTAAAAACATTGCTACGCAAGCTTAAATATCACATGGTTTTTCTCATATGAAGTACAAAATGAAAGGTAATAGGAAATAGGGAGAGATTTTTTTCAAATGGGAAGGGGATCAAGAGGTGAAGAGAGGGAGAGGGCAGAGGAGGGAAGGGAATGACGAAGAATTAAGATGTATTATGTACATGTACCAATCTGCTTGAGGAATGTAATCTTATGTACTAGAAACATGTACTAATAAAAACTAAAAATTGGAATAGGTCCAAAAAAACTTCAAATGAGATGTGAGCTTTTATGTGAACATGTTTTTAATTCTGCCAGGTATTTTATTTCTATAAATGTTTCATAGATAATTACTTGATTTGTTGCATTTAATAATTCCAAATTGAAGCCTTTAGATGTTTGAATCTGTTTTCTACTGAATCTCATATATTATTTTATTTCCTTTTAAGCTAGGTGATTAATCTTATAAGAATTCAAGTGGACAATGTACTTGGTAATTTTTTTAAAGATATACTTTAATCCAAAGTATTGGATGTGAGCTCCTTGGATGCTTTTTGAATACCTTTTTTGGCTCCATATGGCCAATAATATTATTTGATAAGTTAATGTAGTAAAATAAAGTAGAAAAAATCGACAGCTTGAATTAATATTGTTTTCTGAATGGGAACAAAACAGTGAAGGTGTGATAAATAGAGGAAGCAAGAACATAGAGCTTCTGAGCTTTTCATTTCCTGTAGGATTGAAGGTGTTTCTTTAGGCTACAGCCACAGGTAAAACTGCTAGGGCCTCTGTGTACCTTACCTTTCAGTTGTTTCTAGATGTAGACCACCTGTACTCCAGAGGTTTCTGGCTACATCAGAGTTCTTAGAGTATGAATCTTTTTTTTTTTTTGTCTTTTTTTGTGACACGGTCTCTATGCAGTTCGGGCTGGCCTTGAGCTCACTTTGTAGCCCAGGCTGGTCTCGAACTTGCAACTATTCTCTTGCCTTAGCCTCCCGAGTGCTGGGATTATAGGCATGAGTGACCACACCCAGCTAGAGTATGAATCTTTATGCCTCTAGGCCAGTGGAATTTACAAAGACTGTATGTATTCATTTATTTGGAGTGGGCAAGAGGTTAAACGTATGTAACTCATTTTCCTTAGCATAAAACATGAAGCTGTTGCTTCTCCAACATCCTATGCTTATAACTAACTATTAATGCATACTCTCACTTAAACTCCTTTAGTGACATTAGCATCTGGTACCTGATCTAGAATAAATACAGATATAAAAAACAAGGAAAGATTTCCCAACCTTTTTTTTTTTTTTTTTTTTTATTGGTACCAGGGATCAAACTCATGACCACATGCTTGCAAGGCAGGGTGCTTATTGCACTGAGCTAAATCCCCAGCCCCAAGATTTCCCAACCTTTGAGAATGATCCTCAAAGACTTTCTGGTCAGTCATTCTGTGACCCTCTAATTTTATTTGGTTCATCCTACCGGCCTACTCCCACTGTCAGTCCTTTACAGGTGCTATCAGAATAAACTGCTTGAGTGTGGCATGGGTTGAATTGACAGGGGAGAAGTTGCTCTTTGGGAAATTGGTCTGCTGGGACTCTTGAATCTCCAAATATGATACCACTTTACTTTCGGGTGTTCGTTGTTTTTATTACATGTGAATGAGAAACATTTTTGTCCTTTAAGTTACTAATTTTCATTGAGATTTTGCTTATCAACATTGCCTCCCAAATAACTATGTGCCACTGTGCTCAGCTCTTAGTTATTGTTTTAAGGAAGCAGCCTTTCCCAAAAGAGAATATTCTCAAGGACATTCCTGAGGATGCCCACAAGGATAATTTGGTGTTCTTAGTTATTTTACAGTCTAATTCTTCATCTGGCCTGGTAGATATTTATCCTAGTCTTTTCTCATCTTTTTGCTAATCATAAGTATGCTTTTAGACTGTCTGCTGTATCACTTGCCTTTGCTCATGATGTGGCTGTCCTATAGTGTATTTCCCACAGTCTCCTGCTCTTGTCTGTGTATGGTACTTACCTGTTCTTCAAAAATCTACATTCAGTACACTCAGCAAACTTTTCTTGACCATCTCTACTGCCATAACCAAACTGTATTTTCCATTCCTTTTCCTTTATAAATTGCTTGAGAAACTTTTCTGCCTTGCATAATTATTGGTATTTTTATTAGTACTCTGTATTCATTATAAACTTCTTGTCATCTAGGACCATGTATTGTTTATCTTTTAAGTTACCTCTGACAGTGCAAATTGCAAAACATTAAATATATGTGGTATTAGATTATGGCAATATTTTTTATTTGAGATTAACTCATCATCTTCAAAAGGAGTATTTCATAATATGTTTTAAGGCCAACATTCAATACTGTATTAGCAACTTAATAACATCTTTTAAATTGATGACAGAAGTATGATGTCTTTAGTTTGGTATTTGTGTTTCATTTTAGGGAAAATTAGTAAATTGGCTCCACAGTTAACTATGAGAATTATTTTAGTAACATTCTCCAAGTTGTATTATGAAAATAAATTTGATTGGAATTCTGTTAATCAGAGTTGGTAGAAGGAGCTGAGGGGTTTTTGTTGTTTTGGGAAGGGATGGTGCTAAAGATTAAATAATTTAAATGAATTGAGTAATGTTTTGCTTAAAAATTGGAGTAAGAACTTTTCCTTATAGTTAGTAGAAAGTGTTTTGTGTCTGACTTATAATAAGTAATAAGAAAGCAGATACAGTTTCTTTCCTTTTCCAAAATGTAGGTTCTGGTTAAACCATTGGGAGACAAAGGATTCCTTTTTCTTCTCTCTCCTTATCAGATGATTTCTCCATATGGTAGGTATTCTTCTCTTTACTTTTTAACAGTTTTTAAAAAAATCTTTCACTTAAAACACATTGCTATGTTGGGTATGATGGTGCATACCTTTTATCCCAGCATTTGGAAGGCTGAGGTGGGAAAATCCCTGTGAGTTTGAGGCCAGTCTTCCTGGGCTACCTAGTGAGTTCAAGGCCAGCTAGAACTCCATAGTGATACCTTGTTTCCAAAAAATAAGCAAAAACAAAACCCCATAATAAAAGCACATTGCTAATGAATTTGGCTTCTGTTTTTTTCAGAACATCAGACTGTCAAGTCTCGAATTCTACATGCTTTGTTTCTATTTCAAGAACCTAGATGCATAATTACTTGTAAGTTCTTTAAATATCTAAATCTAATTACTCAGGTGTTACTGAAAATTTTCAGATAACACATTAAACATTTTATCTTTCCTACATCATATTTTGATAAATACTGGGGAGAATCAGAGGTATTAACAATGTAAACATGCATAACTTGATATTTGTCTTAATACAAATGTTTTTGGTTTTATTGTTGCTTTTTTACTAACAAAATTTGATATAATTGTTAATAGTCCTGCAGCTAGCATTTGAGGGTCTCGCATGGTTATTTTTTGTAGTGTACTTCTCATTTATATTTTAATGACTTTAAAGTGTTATGTACTAGGTTAAATTATAGACCATTCAAAATTAATGAGAATTTTTGGTATTGATTAGAGAAAGTTTGTTATTTACCCTTTGTAAGAATAAACTTTAATAGTATGTAAGTTCCTACTAATGAGTTTACTGTTGGACTAAGAATGAATTTCTGTTTCTACTAGTGAATTTATATTTCTTAGTTGTTGTTACTTTGTGCCTGTGTTTCTGCTTTTGGGAAGAGAGTTCATTTGAAGTTAAAGTTGTTACTTATGAGACAGAGGAATGACAGTTGCTGTCATTTGCAGGAGTCTCAGGTCTTGTCCTCTTTACTGCTTTTGTTTTGCTCACTAATATTTGAATTGCCTAGGGGTAGTTTGAAATTAAGGTCTTCATTGATTGCTTTTTCTTTTAAAAATGTATTCTGCTATTTCATTTGTTTTACTTTTTTTTACTGGCTTGTTTTTGGCTTCTGATCATGCTATTTCTATACTGCTTATTTGTATATGTATTAGGGTAGAGTTAATTTAATATTAATATGTAAATGTTGAACATTTTTGGAAGTATGTGTATCTGTATTTTTTAACTTTCCTTGATCATTATTTTTGTTTTTTATTTACAGCACAAAAACTTTCAACCAATGCAGTACCACAGGAGAGGCATGAGAGTGTGCCAGATATGTTAAGAACAGCTCAATTTTTACAGTTTGCTTTGATTCATTGTCGAAAGGAATTCAAAAGTATAAACACTATAAATTTTCATTCTGTTGTTGAAAAGTATGTTAGTGAATTTTTTAAGCGAGGTTTTGGTTCAGGTAAACGAGAATTTTTGTTTTCATATGATTCACGTTTAGATGATAGAAAATTCTTATACTCAGCACCAAAACATAAATCCCATATTGATGATTGTTTGCGTACCTATATTTTTCGGCCTGAAATGTATCAGTTGCCTGTTTGTAAACTAAAAGAGCTATTTGAAGAAAATAAAAAACTTCAACAATTCAGTCCACTTTCAGATTATGATGGTCAAGAAGAAGAAATGAATGGTACAAAAATGAAATTTGGAAAACGAAACAACTCAAGGCGTGAAGTTATTACCCCTGGAAAGCAAAGGTCATGTCATTCTTTGGATTATGATAAGGACAGAGTCAAGGAATTGATTAATTTAATACAGTCTAGGAAAAAAAATGTTAGTGGGGACCCAGACACCGAAGATATGAGAAGCAAAAGTATCTTGAAGAGGAAGCTTGAAGACCTACCTGAAAATGTGAGAAAGCTCGCTAAAACCAGTAATTTATCTGAAAATTACCATCTGTATGAAGGTAAAATAATAAATTTCCTTAATAATAGCACCCAAAAAACCAGGAATTACTTCTTTCCTATAGTGCAGAGGTGTGCAAAGCTGTGAGCAATCCAAGTTGTCCTTACCTTTTTGTAAAGAAAGTTATGTTACAATTTAGCTATGCCTATTCATTTATGGATATGTACGTGCTGTCACACTGATGGCAGAACTGGGATAAAAACTGTGTTTGTGGCCTGCAAAGTCTTAAAATACTTGCCATCTGGTCCTTTGCAGAATTCATTTTGCATTCCTGCCCTGGTATGTCAGATTTCTGAATAGTTTGATTTAGGCTCATAAAACAAAGTAAAGTATACCCAGCTATTTTCCTTATAATCAGAGCTCCCATCCTTTTAGATTTAATTTCATAATTGGAGAAATATAAAAATACTGGATTCTTTTAGGATGAGACCTACCACATGGCTAATATACTGAATTAGTATAAGAATAAAGACAGATAAAAGTCAGGAACACATGTAGATTGCAGGGAGCATAAAAATGTAATAAGGACATAGATCTGTCCATTCTAGTCAGATTTGATATAATTGAAAACAACAGTGACAAAAATGGAGACTCTTAACTGTATTTTTTAAAATATTTCAAGTAAGTTAAAACATTTTTATCACTTAAATTTTTAGAAATATTCATACACTCCTAAGTCCATTGGCATGAAATACATTGTTTTTGTATTCAGGAACCTTTGAAATGATAGTTCACATTTGGTACTGCTCTGTTCAATTATGGGAAGTCTGAGTATTCCTCTATTTCTTACTGAGCAGTTTTCTTGGCTTTTTTTTTTCTTTCTTTTTTAGACAGGATCTTGCTGAACAGTCTAGGGTAGCCTTGAGCTCAGTATCGAGGCCAGAGTGGCCTTGAACGCAGTGGTAGTCCTCTTGCCGCATCCTCCTGAGTCCTGAGATTACAGGCATGTATCACCATACTCAGCTTTTGAGTCTTTTCAAATATATATCCTCTCTGACTAGATTAGACAGATCAGTGTCATTGTTGCATTTTTATGCTCCCAGTAATCTGTGTTCCTGATTTTTATTTCTTTACTAATTCAGTATGTTAGTTACTAGTCAGGTGTTATTTAAGTTTAAGTGAATTAAAATGAAATAAAAATACATTTCACCTGCTTTACAACTGTATTGGATAGTACCTGGAAAGTTCCGTCTTTTGAGACAGCTTTTATCTGCAGTAGTAACTCCAAAGATTTTTTTCCTTATATTTCTTTTTCTCTCAAGTGTTATTTTCCTTGTCCATATTTTCATCTCCTTGTTGACTTTCTTGACTTACTAATTTATTTTGATTCACGCCAGTATTAGGTTCTTCTCAATATTGCTTTGTTAACTTGTGATCATTTCATCCTTCTGTACATGGCATTCTATTATAGACTGACCTCATCCAGCCATTTTTCCCATTCTTTCATATACTTTAGTTAAGATTCATCTCATTCCCTAGAATGTGTTATGGTCAGTCTTTTACTTTCTTTACTCTTTTTCTGAAGCATCTTGCAACTCTTAAGTTTTGTGTGTCTGCAAGTCAGAGACCTTCCTTAGCTTTCGGGTTCTGTTTATTGATAGTTTCCATCTTCTTCAACTTACATTGGATTTATGATCTGTTCTGACTTGTTGACACTTACTGATACATGCTATCTGTCTTAAATTGTTGACCTGTGTCTTGACAGTTTTAAGTGCTATGTTCTAGGTGCTTTGGCTGGCCTGCCCGCTTGCTTGCTTCATTGCTTGCTTGCTTTCATTGGTTTTTGAAACAGGGTCTTACTATGTAGTTAAGGCTGGCCTTGAGCTCACTGTGTATCTGAAGCTGGTCTCAAACTTGTGGCAATCCTCTTGCCTCAGCCTCTGAAGTGCTGGGATTATAGGTGTGTGCTACCATACCTGGCAAGTATTAGACATTATTATTCTCATTTTGCCAATAAGAAAACCATCTTTGGTGCTAAATTAAATGATGTTACCAGAAGTTACCTAATGGCAAAATCTGTATTTTTTTTTTTTTTTTTGGTACTGGGTATCGAACTTGTGACCTAGTGCTTGCCAGGCAGGCGCTTGTGCCACTAAGCTAAACCCCCAACTCAAAATCTATACTCTTAACTCAGTTTTTTTAAAAGACAGGGTCTCACTATGATTGAGACTGGCCTTTAATTCACTATGCAGTAGCCCAGGCTGTATCCCAAATGCAAAATAACTAAAAATGGGCAAGAAATTCCTAGAAATCTTATCTGCACATTTCTTTCTTGGCCTTATTTAGACCACGCTGGCCTCAAACTTATGGCAATCCTTCTGCCTCATCTTCCTGAGTGCTGGGATTATAAGTGTGCATGACCACGTCTGCCTCTTCTGTACTTCTTAGCTCTTAGTAAATAGTTGCCATTTAATAATTTGTGGCTCATAATTGACTGATTCTGTATATGTGGAATAATCAGGTTTTGTAAATAATCTAAATAGTATATGGGCATGGTAGCACATGCCTGTGATCCCAGCGCTTGGGAGGCAGAAGCACATGGATTGCTGCCAAGATTGAAGCCAGCCCAGCTACATATCTTAGGAAAGCCTGAACTACATAGCAAGACTCTGTTTCAAAAAAAGATAAATACATAAATAAAATAAATGAGAGAAAAGCTTAAAAACAAAATAAGGCTGAGGAAGAAGTGTATAGATAAGATTTCTAGGAATTTCTTGCTTATTTTTAGTTATTTTGCATTTCTTGTCTGTGAAAGTAAGAGTTTTGAAGACTGGATTATAACTTAAAATAACCTGCTCTTGATTTGATGTTGAACCCACTCATTTTATGAAATAAACTTCAAAATCCCGAATACATATATAGTCTGTTATTTTGCTTATTTTTACTGTAGTCATCACACCCTTCCTAAATTAGAAAGCATATCTACTCCAGCATCAAAACATATGACTTCCTCTTTTTATGATTCAGGGTTTCACTAAGTTGCCTTCTTCAGCCTCCTAAGTAACTAGGTTTACAGGTGTACATCACCACGTCTGGCTAAAAGCACATGATTTTCTGAACATTTACTCCTGTGAGAGTTTTAAATATATTAGTTGGGCAGATTGTTCAAGTGTATACTTGTCTGGAACCCTGTCCTAACATATTTTCTTGCAGTCCTTTTTTCTTGCTGCAAGTTTGGTGGATTTCTTTGGTATGTTTAATAGTCTAGCTTCATTATAAATTTTAAATAATTTATTCATTCAGGATAAAGCTTAGAAGATAGTGCTTTAAGGACAACATATAAGAGGAGCAGAGGAAATAGAAATAAAAAGCCAAGGTTTTTCAGTTGATTTACGTGTAATTTGCATGTCTTCCTAATAATTGGCAATAGTGAATACAAATGTTTTTTCTTTTGTCAAGCAACTAGTTGACTAGGATTTGGTGGTAGAATTTAAAGTAATTATGGTTATTAATGTATTATTCACATATAATAGGAAGTTTGACCTGTACATAGAATTTTACAAGCAGTGAATTTTAAAATAAGAAATAGGCGTGTTAAGTCCTACTTGCATGAATTCTCCCCATAAGTTTCATGGAATTTTAAAGGCTTATTTGACTTATGTATGCTGACTTTTGATCTTAAATTCAAGAGATGAATTTTCTTTCTTTTTTCTCAGAGTCTCTGAAGCCTGTTGGCTTAGCTGGGCATGATGCTGACTTGAGACAGCAGCAGCAGAGCACCTGTAACTCTGGTGTTGGTGATGTTCATATGCTGTTTAACTGGCTGTCAGAAACACTAGCAAATGCACGCCATTCCGATTCTTCCCTGACAGACACAGTCAATAAAGCCTTAGGATTGAACACTGATGATGCCTTTGAAGAGCTGAAGCAGAAGCATAAATTGAACTGTGTCTCAGATAAAAAAGAATATGAGCCACCCACATGTACAAAAATTGAAAATGTACATTTTAAGGGCGTTCAGAGTCCATTGTTAGAAGTTACTACTTCATCTTTAAAGTATCCAGTTGCTGTACCTACCAGTGAAGTGGGCGTTGACCATAAGCTGCATTCAAAAGAAGTAAGCATATGTCTTTTTGTTACTTTTGTTTGCTTTTCACTAGTGTTTCTAAGAGAGCATGAGAATATGCTTTATATAGAGTGGTTTTTCCTTTCCCAAGAACTAAAAACACACTTCTGAGTGAAAATGTCTATCCAGATGGTGTCTGAATTTTCTTTGTTATAAGTGTATAAATGCCAAAGTAGTTGTTCTCCTTCCTGCTTGTAGGGTTTATGTATAGTATAAAATTCACTCATTATGGTAAAACTAAAGCTGGACAATGCCGGAAAGGACAAATTGGAAGTTAATTCCACATTGTTTTATGGTAAAATTGAGTCCTCAAAGCATTGGCTGCTATCTGGTGTGAGTTAACAGAAAACTTACAGAAGAGGCCATGACTAAACTCACTGCTCCAGGGTAAAAAACAGGATACATACTTTATATTTCTGATGTAAGTGGTCATGTAAAATGAGTGACTGTTAGATGACCTCTGAAGTATATCTCAGCCTTGCTCACTAAGGCATGTCGTTTATTTATGGTTATTGCTTACAGGATTGATCAATAGCTGGGAAACAGCTTTAATTTCTTCAAGAAATGGCTACATCATTTAGCACACCACCAGAATGGCATCATATTCCCTTGGGCTTACTTCTAAGTCATTCTTCTCTTGCTTTGACTAAAAGTCAAACCTTCCTCTATGTTCTTCGGGGATATTTGGAGGCGGGGGAATGATGCAGAGGCTTAAATGGGAAAGTATGTAAGGCAGGCACTGAGATACTAATCTGTATTGTTAGTATTTCCCACTATATATGATGCTCAGGTTGATGGCTGTGGACTAGAGAGTCTGCTTTCTTTCGCAGTTAAGTTTTATGCCCATTGATTTAGGTGTTATTACCTATGTCTGTGGCTGTTTTTTTAAAATTTTAAAGAGGGTAAAACTAAGCAAAATAGAACAAAGCAGATCAGAGGAAAACAATAAGTAACACAGATTTTAACGCAAGACAACAGATCATCACTGTCTTATTGTATTGTCTCTTGTTTTCTTCTAAATAGTTGTCCATATCTTCACACACAGTGAATTCATACAAAACAAAATAATATTAAACTGATCAGAACAGATTGATAAAGGCATTTTAGGCCTTCAAAATCAGACAATAGGGAAATAAACAATGGCTGCCATAATGTCTCTCATTCTCTTCAAAATAGCTGTCCATTCCTTCATGTAGGTTGAAACTGAACAATACAAAACAGACTAAAATCACTCTGAACAAAGAATAACAGTATTGCTGGATTTCACAGCATGATGCTACAGAATCAGCACTGGGTACCATAATGTCTCTTCAAAGTAGATGTTCATTTCATCATTCATTTCATCAGTCGATTCTCATAAACTGTTTAGGAGACATTCTATACATGTATGAGTCTCTACGTGTATACCTATCCTTTCTATATTAGAGGGAAAAACAAAACAAAACAAAGTACTAGAAAAACATGAAACAAAAAAAGACAACATAGCAAACAGCCCAAAACACTGACAGTATAGGCCTTCAAAACAAGGCGGTAGAAGCATAACTGGGGTGGTTATTTCACATAATGATCTTCAAGAGATCCTCAGATCATCTATGGCTGTTTTTAAACTACAGTATACGGCATGCAAAGTCTAAAATATTTACTGTCTAGTACTTTCCTGTAAGTTCTGAGTCACTTCTGTAATAAACACCAAATTACATTTTGAGAGGAAGAATTTATTTTTGTTTTAAGATAGAGTATTATCATTTTACCTTGTAGATACTAATTTGTGGTGTTTAGGTTAAATTTTATGAATTTTCTCTGAAAAAATATTCTTGGTATTTAAATTTACTAAGAAGAGAGCTACTGAATATGTACTTTAATTTTAGGATCCAAATTCAGTTAACGTGAATAATTTTGAAGATTGCAGTTTGTGCCCCACTGTTCCCATTGAACATGGATTCCATAGACAACAGTCTAAGTCAAATAATGTTGAAGAGACTGAAATACATTGGAAACTGATTCCAATTACAGGTAAGAGTAAATGTGGTAGGTCTTACATTGTTTCCTTTTACTTAGGGATCAGGTTCCTGAAGGATTTCATCTTTTATATTCTACTTGGGTCACTAAGATGCTTCATCTTATTTGGCTGTGACATCTTCAGTTTTTTATTTTGAACAGTGCAGTGTTTGTCACTGAGTGACGCTGTTCTTGGTCAGCATTATCAAATGTCTCAAAAGGCCCTATTAGCAGAGAGATTTAGATCATACCTCTCCCCCGTGGAATCAGATTTGCAGATGATCAACTCAAAATTGTCAAAAAATAAACTTCTTAAAGGAAAGTTAACTATATAAATAAATGATGCTCTTTGGCAGCTAATACTTCCTATACTTTGCTATAACAAATTGTCTTCCAATAAGTGGTCATGTTAAGGTTTAATTGTGTGATTTCTTAACTTGTTCCTGTCAGCTTAAATCCCTGGTGGTACATGCATGACATTGGGCTACTTGTAACACGCATGGTGCAAACAAATGTAATTACTTTTATCAGTCTTTTTACTAATAAAATTAATGAAAAGCTGCCCAGTGTGACAGTCACGCATATACTGCCAGTGGTTCAAGTTTTCCAGCAGCAAGACATAAATTTCAGCCTCATTGTGAATGTGTTAATACTGAATTGTCTTAAAACGATTAGATTGTCTTAGATCATGGCTTGCAGTAATCAAATGCATATATGCTAAAGCTTTTTTGTTTTTAGTACCAGAGTCGAACTCAGGACCTTGTGTTTGCCAGGCAGGCGTGTGTGCCGCTGATCTAAAACCCTGGCCTGTGCTAAAGCTTCTTGCTCCATAGGACAAGAAGAGTTAGGCAAATGTTGGAAGAGTTATTTTTTTACAATATTCTAATTTCTGTGTAAATCCATATAAATACATACTCTTTAATATTCCAAGTTCTTATTCATCTTTGGTGACTGTTTTTGGAAATGTATTCAGGGAACATCTTGTTCATTTATTAACCTTTAAGAAAAACTGACTTTTTGATAAAAAAAAAAAATAGCTTGGCTTGTGATCTCAAACTTAGAAGACTTACAAGGATTTTGAGAATTTCTAAAACTTGAATTTCTATGGGCTTCAGTCCTGTTCTTTACTTAGTGACTTACTAGAAAAGGGAAGTGGCCCAGAGGAAATGATGCAGTGGGAAGTGGTACCCTCCCCCTTTCTTCTTTGAGCTGAGATGTTAGCTCATGTGAGAAAAGTAGAATAGGCAAGTATGTCCTAAGCATTCCTCATTTAAACAGTTCATACTTGGTGTTGACAGCCATTTGAAGGAATGGCATCTAGGTATTGATAGCCCATCATCACCTGAATGGGAAGCAACTTCCTATTTCTAAGACTTACCAGGAATATTTTAGGCAGAAGAAGGAATACTGACATTTGTTAAGACTTGGGGTTGTCTGAAAAGTGCTGTATGAAGAGTACAAATCTATTGCTTTACCTCAGGAGGGGACACAAAAAGCCCAGAAGATCAGCTGGTGAAACACAGCGAGAAACAAATACCAGGTGAGAAGACTTGCTTTGCTTTCCTTCCAGTGTGTCTTTCTTCATAATTGCTGCTTGAATTTCTGGTTCTCCATCAATAGGTCATTGATAAAAGTTTTATTAATTATAGAAAATTTAGACAATGCTATATTTATATATAAATCATTACTTAGCAGTTAATTTTAAATTGTGTGTCACTTGGGCAGCATACTTCTTTATGTACTGACTATCCTAAGTGTTGTTAGGGCAGGTGTCATTTTAACCATTTGATTTTTGTGTTGAATAAATTTGATAAATTTGTTTTTTTTGAGACAGGGTCTCATTATGTGTAGTTCAGGCAGACCTTGAACTATGTATCCCAGAGTGGCTTTGAACTCAAGGCAGTTCTCCTGCCTCATCCTCCTGTGTGCTGAAATTATAGGAGTATACCACCACACCCAGCAAGATTGTCATTTTTATATTTCCTGTTATTATGATATAAAAATTAGAGAAGAAATAGACAAGTGTTGGTCATCCTGTATTTAAATAATTGGACTGCTAAGTGTTTAGTTGTGCATTTATCAGTAATTCTTTGTCATTAGGAATAGCAGGTATCTTTGTGCTTCATAACCTTCCATAGGAATCTATTCCTCTTATTTTGGATATTATATTCATATTTTATAACTAAAAGTAATATGAATGATGTTTTCTTTAGAGAATTTACTGCTTTCACTTGTTAATCCAAGTATTTGGTTAAAATTTAAAAGAAGGGTTTTTTTTTTGGTACTGAGGGTTGAACTCATGACCTTGTACTTGCCAAGCAGATGTTTATGCTGTTGAGTTAAATCCCTGGCTCTGATTAAAGTAAAATTAAGTGGTGTTTACTTACTTTTCTTTCTTTCTTTCTTTCTTTTTTTTTTTTTTTTTTTTTTTTTTAGTGTCTTTTTGATACAGAGTTTTACCAAGAAGTTCAGGCTTACCTTGAACTTTCTTTGTAGCCCAGGCTGGCCTCAAACTCATAGCAGTCCTCTTGCCTCAGCCTGGGACTACAAGCATGTACCACCAAACCTGGCTACGTTTTTTGAAAGGATTTTATTTGATTTAGAGTTTTGTCATTTGGAAAATTTTCTATGTGGATTTAAATTATATTTTAAGTTTAAAACATTTTTTTCTTTATCCATAGTCCTTCAGGAAGAAACTTACTGGTCTGATGTTGAACCTCAAATTTTAGGAGCAGGTATTTCATTTAAAATAATAATTAAAAAATTTTAAAATTATGGGTAATCTTCAGCCCATTTATTTTATAAAACACAATTCATTTTTTAAGTAAGTCAGATGTTTCAAATGGTACATAATTCAAGAAACAAAATATACTAAAGAAAGTACACTTAGTTTCCTTTCAACAGGTCAACTTCCTAGACATTTGTGTATTAAACTATTTTAATATTGTAGATTCAAGGAGGACATTGAATATTCTTTTTCTGTGTGTGTAGTGCTAGGGATTGAACCCAGGTCCTTAGTGTACAAGGCAAGAGCTCTACCACTGAGCCAATCTGCAGCCCAACATTGTATATAAGCTTACAGAAAGTTGGATTTTGTTTTATCAATTTTATACAGTTATAATTCTTATCTCTACAAGATGGATGCTTCGTTTCTCTTTTAACTTCTCCCTGTGGACCTACTGTAATCTTTACTAACAAGTGTTTTTGCAGGAGTTAATGCACGCAGTGGTTCATAGTAATCACCAGGATTGGTAGAGAATGTTATACTCTATCATGGGTTTGAAACCTGTTAGCTAGACTTTCTGACTTACAGATAATATTTCCTATATTACAGTAGCAATCAGCTAAGTTTTAAGGAAAATCAGTAATTTTTAGAAAGAAACTAGTATATTTTCTTCTAAGCAAAGATCATCAATAGTTTTCCTAAAATGTATTACTGTAAATTGAAGTTAAATATATTTTCCCTTGTTTCTTAAGGTGGATTTAGAATACTTATTTTGAAATGCTTTGAAAAAGTACCATGTTTGAATTTAAGATTTTTGGGACAAGGCCTGGGGATATAGCTTAGTGGTAGATCATTCTCCTAGTATGCTCAAGGCCCTGGGTTCAATCCCCAGCATTGCAAAAAAAAAAAAAAAAAAAAAAGAATTTTTGGGACAAATGATGATTTTTGTAGCTCTTACTATCATCAACTAACTGAAAGTTCTCTTTATTTTTGAGAAGATGAGATAGTAGTTGTCCTTATTTCTCTTGGAATTGTTTCCAGACAAAATGAAATACTTATGAAAGTGCTATCAAAGTATTATTTTTAATACAACTATGAAATGTATTTTCTTCCTGTTTTGTTGAGCTTTTTTTTCTGATACAATGAACTAACGTTTTCCTAACATTGCAGGAAATCTGCTCGGCAGCCTTGTGAGAGAGATTCTGAAAACAGAAGATTATCCCAATTCCTAAAGCCTAATGTGCTTGACAGTTAATCTCACAGCATTTTTGTTTGGCACTCTTTCAGTTGCCTTGTACTCATTTTCATGTTAAGCAAGTGCTGTCATAGTTGACATTGCCTAGCAAGGAATACAGTAGTTGAAAAGCTAATGTAACTGACCACTCTGGTTAAACTGTGTTTATTAAGATCTATAGAATGGTAGGGAACTAAAAAGAAGCAATGATTTAACTTGTATTGATGTCATAGAGGATCCATTGAACACTTTGAAAAGAAATAATATTCAGAGTTGTTACTCTGCATACTGATATATAAAGTCCAGCCTAAGTAGGTTGGGCAGATAGGAAAAAGGGTGCACATCAGTAGTTGAGGTTTTCTGTTTTACCTCTGATGCCTAATTTAGTTCTTAAATATATACTTGACCTTTTTTTCCTGATTTAAGAGTTTGTTTTCAAATGCTGATTTTTTTTTATTGCTGTCATAATAATAACTCTTCTTATATAGGTATGAAATCACCAGACGAACAACTGGTATGTCTGCCACCACAGGAGACCTTTCCTAACGATCCCCGAGTAATAAGTAGACAGAGAAGTTCTGATTACCAGTCTCCATCCTCTCCATTTACAGACACACTAAAGGGCACCACAGAGGAGGACGTGTTGACAGGTCAGGTGGTGGCATTGGAGGAGCAGTGTGTGCCAGCAGCAGAGCCGTCTGCAGTGAGTGAAACTACAGAGAGAACAGTGTTAGGAGAGTACAGTCTCTTTTCTAGGAAGATAGAAGAGATTTTGAAGCAAAACAATGTTTTCTATATTAGTAAAATTTCTACACCTGTCTTTTCAACACAAGAGAAGATAAAACGGCTTTCCGAGTTCATACATTCTAAGACTTCCAAAGCTGGTGTACAGGAATTTGTAGATGGTTTGCATGAGAAGCTAAATACAATTATTATTAAAGCATCAGCTAAGGGTGAGAATTTGCCACCAGTTAATTCTAATGATTTTAGTACTACGATAGCATTAAATCCTCTTGGAAGGCATGTACCAGTTTCCTCAAGTGACTTGAACAATAAGCACCTCTTGGAGCCAGTTTGTAGTGATGCTTTGAAAGATGCAAGCTCTCAAGAACAGCATTCCTCTTCAACTTTGGGTTTAACTGAGGGAGAAATGAACCAGCCACACCATGCTACTGAGTTAGTGTTGACTTCTGATCATACTGTACCTGGTGATTCTGTCCGGGAACCAGTAGAAAAAGAAACAAAATCACCCAGTGATGTAAACATTTCTGCCCAACCTGCTCTTTCAAATTTCATAAGCCAGTTAGAACCTGAAGTATTCAATAGTTTGGTTAAAATCATGAAAGATGTCCAGAAAAATACTGTGAAGTTCTATATTCATGAAGAAGAAGAAAGTATGCTCTGTAAAGAAATAAAGGTAACTAAACAAGAATGTGATAGTAATGCTGTAAAAACTTGTCCTGTTGGTCTAACCTCTTTAAAGTGGAGTTTTAAAAAAGGTTCACTACACATTTTCATAATTTAGTAATTAAACTGGATTAGTAAATGGAATTGAGAACTTGAGATCTAAGTATCTCAGAATTTAGAGTCTTATGTATAATTTTTAAGAACATTTGTGCATACATAACTGTTCAGCGATACAGTGCTTGCCCCAGAATGTACAACACCTTGGGTTTGATCTTACTGAAAAGAAGAAAAATCACTCTCTATTATGTACGTACTCCAAATATCCTTAAAGTATAGAGATTTTAAATATTGCTTTTAGCAGGTGTGGTGGTGTATGCCTGTAATGCTAGCTCTTGGGAGGTTGCGGCAGGAGGATCCCTGTGAGTTTGGGGCCAGCTTGGGCTGTGTACTAAGACCCTGTTTCTAAAAAAACAAAGTGTTACTTGCTTGGGTTTTTAATGAGGAGGGAAAAATAGGAAGTAAAATAAGTTGCCAGTGTTTATATTTTTTTTGGGGGGGGGGTCTTTTTTGAGACGGGGTCTTGCTATGCAGTTCAGGCTGGCCTTGAGCTCACTTTGTAGTCCAGGCTGGTCTCGAACTCGTAACGATCCTCCCACCTCAGCCTCCCCAGTGCTGGGATTACAGGTCTGGCTGCCAGTGTTTAAACATATCTGGCTGCCAGTGTTTATCTTACATGGAGTTTTGTTAGTCAAAACTGTGCAGGGATGGTCTAATGATACATTCTTTTGATGTTTCTTTTTTTTTTTTTTTTTGCCTTTTTCTTTTTTATCGGTACTGGGGATCAAACTCACGACTGCCTGCTTGCAAGGCAGGCGCTTATGCCGCTGAGCTAAATCCCCAGCCCCCCTTTTGGTGTTTCTTGATAACTTGTCATGATTCCCTATGGCTTTAATTGGGTAAAAAAAAAAATGAAAGACTCCCCAGTTATGAAAATTTCTCAGTGTATTTCTTTTTGTTTAAAGTTGGAGAGTAGACCTAACATTTCAAGTGTTTTAAACATACATCCCATTGTGTATTAAGACATAAATATGTAAAATTTATTCACAGTAGATAATTTATATATAATACATTGAAACAATTATCAGTGGTTTAGTATTATTACTTAATGCTTATTAAACATAAGATTTAATTTAATTCCTTAATGGGATGCCTGGGGTTTTAAAATAAACACTTGTTTCCATTTGTGGAATTTACTTATACTAGAATATAAATAATTTACACTATAGAACATCTCCCTGTTTTGTTAGAGGAAGCAGAGGGACCAGAGGGACTATAAATATAGTAACTTACACCCCGGAGTGGTCTAGCACAGTACTGCTGACAGGTCATTAAGTTTCTTTTGTCTGTTTGAGGGTCTGTCTGTGTCTGTCATGAGTTGTGTACCCAACAAGGATCTGAAAAGCATAGCAATGAAAGAGAATTCAGAGTACTCAATCTTATTGTTTTCCTGAGAAAATGAAATCAGATTTGGTTTTATTTTTGCCATGTATGATAGAATGTAGAGCTTCCCAACTGTTTCCCTCCCGGGTAACATGTTTCCAAGCACAGAACTCTTTGGAAAATAGCACCACATTGGTGGAGGGCTGGGTGAGAGAAACGAAGAGTTCTGGCGTGCTCAGAATTAACTCCACCTCCCTCCATCTTTTAAAAATGGATTGTAATACCTGTGAGGTGTTTAGATCAAAGGACATACATTTCCTTATGAATAGTGGTTTTAATTGTCTAGCATAGACACATAATTTCATTATTTACTTAATAAAGAATAATGACTATGTTACAAATCTGATACAAAATCAGATTGGCACTTTAATTCTTCTAGTCAGTATCCACTGGAAATTTTCTAACAAAAATGTTATGATACTAAAATCTAAATAACTTCCGTAGTCAAAACTATATTGTTACAGTATGAATTATCTAATCTAAAAGTTTATCTTATCTAAAATTGTGTTTAAAGTTTCTTAATGTACAAACACCAAAATTGCCAGCAGGGGCTGTCAGACATAATACTCTTTTTGATTAACAAAGTCTGAGATACCTACAAGCTTCAGAGGTTAGAACAAAATCAATGTAGAATATGCTGCCTCAATTTAAGGGATATGTACTGTGGAAATGTTCTCTTGGATGTAACACTTCAGGCAGCTCTTGAAAAAATAGCTTGTTGAGCATGCGGGGCTTTGGTTATGGGTATCTGACCAGCCATGCTGACCTTTGGAAAATTAACCTCCTGTAGCTGTGAAGTGAGGACTGTGACCTCTAGGATCCTGTGATTCAAGGTTTAGGATTCTACGAGCAAGCAAAGAGCAAAGGGAACCCTGTATAGACTGATGTATTGCCTGTGTCCTGTGAAACGTAGTACCAAGTCACCAGCATGGACAGAGGTCTTAAATGTGATGGTCTGCTCTGCTCAAAGATGGAAACTTGACACAAATAGCAAATTAGTATGTGTATCCCATTGAGCATACTAAGGCTCTATATGAATACTTTTTGGGTTGTCATGAATTCAGTGATCTTAAGATGTTATGAAAGCTTTTTGTGACCCTGAAGAGGCATATACCAGTAATAGTGTTGTAGGTAACCCAGGGCCTGAGTAAGGAAAGGGAGAGAGGGAGGGAGTACGTAATGACTAGGCTCTGGATTTCCCATAGTAAATAAGAGCCTGCTCACGAATTTGGGCTACATCATTCTTAACAGTTCTGCCATCTCACACTGGCATTTACTTGGCTTTAATTGCATAACTCCCACATTTTGAACGAGATTTGTGAAACTTTGACCTTTTTATTCCTCTTCTGTAAGAGTGGTGGAGCACTAAGGTCTCCTGGTTGTTTCCTAGTAGTAAATAAATTTATCACTTTATGTTGCATTTCTAGTATTAAAATGATACTTGCAAAAAGTCTTAATGCTGATTTGGTGGTTTTTCTTTAATAGGAGTATCTTACCAAATTAGGCAATACAGAGTGTCATCCGGAACAGTTTTTGGAAAGAAGATCAAAATTAGATAAACTATTGATTATTATTCAAAATGAAGACATTGCAGGTTTCATTCACAAGGTAGAATATTACATCAAATTCTTTTTAATTTTTAAAACATTTTTTAATCTGTGAGGCTGTTTTTAAAATAAGCTTTGAAGGTAAAATTGTGTCCCTAATGTACTTTTGTTCATGGTAGTGTCACCAGTACGTAAATGTTGTATTATATTGGGAAATGATGTAGAGAAAATTATTTTTGTATATGACTTGCCAGGTAAACGCAGTAATGTGGGTGAGCCTTATTATATTTTGTTGGGCTTTTCTTGGAGGTTACTTCATACAAGTTTCAGTTCATTCCTTCTTTCTCTTTTGATTTTCAATAGGTTCCTGGCTTGGTGACTTTAAAGACCCTTCCTTGTGTTAGTTTTGCTGGTGTTGATAGCCTAGATGATGTTAAAAATCATACATACAATGAGTTATTTGTGTCTGGAGGCATTATTGTGTCTGATGAGTCAATTCTAAATCCAGAGGTTGTCACAATTGGTAAGATCATTCTTTTGAGCATATAATCCCCCTCACCCTCATATTGTTAGAAAACTAAAACTCTCAATTGGTACCTTTTTTTTTTTTTTTTTTTTTTTGGTCTTTTGTTTTTTTTCTTGGTCTTAGAGAAAGGATCTTACTATGCAGTTCAGGGTGGTGTTGAGCTCACTTTGTAGCCCAGGCTGGTTTTGAACTTGAAATGATCCTCCTTCCTCAGCCTCCTGAGTCCTGGGATTGCAGGCATGTGCTGTCATACCTGGCACAACTGGTACTTTCCCCAGATAACTAGGACATTTCCCTCTTTTCCTGTGCTGCTGTTCCTGGTACTGTCATCAGTGTATTTTTTATAGGTATACTACATTCTTAGAGCTCTCTTTCCCTTTAGAGGAAGGTAAAAGACAATGAAAATAGTACATAGAGAAGTATGAGTTCCTATATAATATGAACACTTTGATAATTCAGGTGTGGGGTGATTCTTACTTATCGAACTTCATTATCTCTAACAGAGAGCCTTAAAATTTTTTTGACATTCCTTGAAGAACTTAGTACTCCAGAAGGAAAATGGCAGTGGAAAGTCCACTGTAAATTTCAGAAAAGACTAAAGGAACTGGGCAGGTAAGATTTGGAAAATAAGTATATAATGGTGGTTGATTTTAACATTGTTTTTTTTTTTTTTGTTTTTTTTTTGGCTTTTTCCTTTTTTACCGGTACCAGGGATCGAACTCATGACTGCCTGCTTGCAAGGCAGGCGCTTATGCCGCTGAGCTAAATCCCCAGCCCCTTTAACATTGTGTTTTACAAAAATTTTTCTGTTATCGGTTTGTAGATTATGGACACTGCTGTTTTTCATAGCCAGTCATAAAGGAGTATAAATACCAAATTATTGTAGTCTTTTTAGAATATGATAAGTAGATACTTGGTGAAGTTCTGTTGTCTCTGTAGGTAAAATTGCCCTAAGGTATTGTGAATAGAATAACCAGTTATTTGCTTGCTTGCCTGTGTGATACTGGGAATCTAAGGAAGAGCTTATGCACTGAGCTATATACCCAGTCTTTTTATTTTTTGAGGCAAGGTCTTGTCAGGTTGCAAAATTGCCCAGGCTGGCTCAAACCTGCAGTTATCCTTCCAGAGTGTTGAAGTTATATGCATATGCACCATACCTTTTTTGCCCCCATAGTACTTTTCAGAAAATTGAGCTTTAAATAATTTTGAATTATTGCACATCTTAGAAAAGTTGTAGCAATATCTTTTCTTTTATCCCTTTGTTGGTGGTACTGGGGCTCAAACTTAGGATGTTCCATCCTTGAGCTACATCTCTATACCTTTCTGAGATAAGGTCTCCAGACCAGCCTCAAACTTTTGATCTTTGTGCCTGTCTTTTAGGTAACTGGTATAACAGGCATGGGCCACTAACCCCAACAGCAATTTACTTTTTTTAAACTTAGTTATCTTTAAAGCCCATGAAGTAGACACTTGGGAAATCTTAATTTGTATATGCTTTTATGTAATTTGTATTTATTGATACTCTGTCCATTAAAATTCAAGATTAATAAAACCAAAGGCTATTGTATTTAATTAGTAGCTAGAATAAGATTTTAGTGTAAATTGAGTAACTTCCCTCAGCTCTCCATCTTATATAAGGGCTGTGTAATTCCTACTGTTCCTCTACCCTAAGAAGAACCTTGTGTCGGGTACTAAACCAAGCAGTCATTACTTGCCTTAGTCATTAATCTACTATTTTTTTCATCTTTTTTTTTTAATCGGTACCAGGGATTGAACTCAGGACCACACACTTGCAAGGCAAGGCGCTTATGCCACTAACTCCCCAGCCCCAATGGTTTTAATCTAAAGCAAAATTTCTATACTAAATTTTAGTGCAGATATGGATAGTGGATTCTGCTTACTTTCAGATTGAATGCTAAAGCTCTAAGTCTGTTGACACTTCTGAATGTCTATCAGAAGAAACATCTGGTTGAAATTTTGTCATACCACAGTTGTGATTCTCAGACTCGCAATGCTCCAGAACTAGAATGCCTTATCAGACTTCAAGCTCAGAACATACAGCAGCGACATACAGTGTTTTTAACAGGTAATGAGAGAACTTAGGTTTTCTACTATGAATACATGAGTATCAGTGGATTTTGTGGAGCTGTGAAGCTATAATTCTGAACATGAGTAGAAAAGGATACGGTTGAGGATGGGTGGGGAGGCATTTTATTTGTCCATGTGCACTTTTACTTGGTTTATGATCAATCTGTTCTTTAATTTAGAAAAGAGTATCAAGATACTTTCCAGTTACACAGATAATGGAATAGTAGTTGCAACCACTGAAGACTTTATGCAAAACTTTAAAAGTCTCGTGGGCTATCACAACTCTGTCGCAGAAGAAAGCCTTCCGTTCCTTGGTGCTAATCAGACTCTTGAGTCTCAGTCAGGTAACTTTTCAGCAGTTTTTTCATTTAAGGCAGACAGAAAAAGAGGAATGTTTTCGTCTGTAATTAAATAATGAAATGCCTATTTTGAAGCCATTCATGTCGTATAAAGAGGGTTAGTTTCAGAGCATTGATCATTCTGAGATTTAAAATGCACTAGATTTGTTCATGTATCGTACCGTGGTTAGAGTTTTTAGTTATAGACTGCCTTATGCACTGTTTATACTGTGGACTGTGATACTATGGATTATGCATTTTCTCTGAGGGTACGTAAACTGTTGACTGCTGTCCAAAGGGGCTTTATTAAGAAAAAAGTAGGAAACTGATTAGTGGGATTCAGCTGTGGGCCACTAAACTTCAGATTTATAAAGCAATTTAATTATAGTAAGGCTATCATAGCCTCAGTCTTTTGTGAGATAGCCTCTGCTTTGGTTCCAGATCTGTGTAAAATGAAACATGTACTATTGTTTTTGATGAAAAGCAGAGATGATCAAACATTAGATACAGCTAACCCATTTAGTAATTCAGTGAAGCTAGATGTCAGAAGTTTTATTTTACATTTGTCTTGCCAAATACTGAATTACCGTATAACTTTAGATGCTGTTTTGACATTAACCCCTTTGGAGCTGGGAGTTGGGATTTCCCAACATTAAACGTGAACACATTTCGCAGAAGCTTTTAGCATCGGATTATCTGGACATTCACACCTAGTGTGAGTGTTGTGACTAAGTGACCTTGTGGCAGAAGACCAAGCTTTAAGGGATGGTGGACTTGCTGACCCTGACACGTTATATTGTGTGAGTAGTGTAACTTTAAAACTTAAACAAATTGTGTATTTCAATAGAGGAGGACTTTTTGTTTTTTGAATGTAGCTCTTTTAGAAAACGATGAAAAGGATGAAGAGGATATGTCTCTGGATTCAGGGGATGAGATCTCACATATAGAAGTATGCAGCAATTTTCATTCAGAAATTCTGAAGAAAGAAATCAAAGGATCAAGTGGAAGAGATCAAAAAAGGAATACTCAAATTGGGTTGCAATCATCCCTTGACATACAAAAAGGTTTATTAGAAGACAAGACTTCCCAAATTGATTCTGAGGAGAGAACTTCTATTGATACAGTGTGTCCTGAAGGAGAAAACAGCAGTTCGGCAGAACAAGATTCATACAGCATCTTTCAGGTTTCTCAGAGTCCATTAAATATGTCCCATCAGTTCAGTCATTTTAATGTTCTCACTCATCAGACTTTCCTGGGAACATCATACGCCCTTTCATCAAGTCAGTCTCAAAATGAAAGTTACGTGTTACCTGCTTATACTCAGTCTAATCTCCGTTAAATTGGAGAAAAAAAAAGATTCTTCCAGGCCATGCTGAAAAAAGATACAGTAACTTTTAAAAAAACAGGTTGCAGACCTCTTCTGTTTCTTAACAGTGAATTACCAATTTATATTCTTTGAACACAAGGTTTCTTACCCTTTCTGAAATGTTTATTTCCTCCTATTTAAATCATGATGGCCTGTAACAGTTTAAACGTCTGAAAACTGAAATAAATATATATATTTCTAACATATATTGTACTTGAATTCTCATGTTGGCACTTTTAAAATTCTGTGTTGTCTGTTACCTGTACTTGAGCTTCAAATTGAAGCCTGTTTTATATGTAAAATTAGATGTTTATAGAAGGATGGTAAAAAGCAGTGGTTTCACTTTTTTCCTCTAATGTTAGATAATAGACTATTTTGATTTAAGCTTTTGTATAATGTTTTACACAGGTATAAGCCAGTGATGTTAGTATTTATAAGAATTTGGCTTTGTACCTCAAGAACTTAGTAGGATTTAATAGCAAGCAGAATTATTTTTTAATCTTATAGGCTTGGATGTCTAAAATTCAGCTCACTTCAGTTTTGATTTTGATAGTATTTAATAATTGTGATTTTCAGTGCTTATGTAATAATCATTGACCAAATCAGTTTTAAAACTTGGGGCTTCTATTGTTAGCAAAGGCATTAAACAATTTGGAACTTGTATTCTTAGATGTATATTTTTGAGTGGTCTTATTTAACCATTTATTCAGCACCTTAGTCTTACAGTCAATTCACACATAAAATATATGATGGAAATAGATTTCAAACCTTTATCTAACCCATATCTAGTGCCTCTCTTTTCTGTTATTTTTTTTCAAAGTCTTTGAGACAAGATTTCACTAATCAGTTCAGACTGGCCTCTTACGCACTGTGATCCTCCTGCTTCAGCCTCTTTATGAAAATTGACCTCTGTGTTTTTGAAAATTGCAGTTTCTATAATAAAAATCATAAAAACATTTTAAAGCAATGAGAAACTTATAGGAGCATAGACTGAATTTGGTTATTTTTAGTAACAGCCTAGATGTGGCACCTAGAACTTTTTATTCAACAACATGTATGACTGGTATTACAAATTTGGAAGAACAATGTTAATAGATCATAAAATTAAGACTTTACAATAAACAGACTGTGACAGCAGAAAATATTAAGACAAAACATTTTACTATATAATGTGCCAGTTTTTTTAGTGACCATTTGAAAAACAGAACTAGGCTATTTGAATACAGTTGAGTAATGAGCACATTTTATCATTTAGAAGACAAACTGCTTTTTAAATTTTAAATGAAGAACTAAAATTCTTTTCTTGATTTGCAGCTAAAGGCATGAGATTAGTTTCCAACTCCTTTTGCTTCTGGAGAAGGCCCTGAAATCACAGTAATAGATTAGTAAAGTATATATGGTAGCCAAGTTGGAAATTATTCCTTATCTTCTTGTCCTATTAGTAGTCAGCTCAGAATAGAAGTGTTACTAGTTGGCCACAGCCAGAGCCTTGTCTTAAATTTTTTAATAATTCTTGTACTAGACCTAATTTGGATATTACACAGGTATTCTTGTACTAGACCTAATTTGGATATTACACAGGTATTTATATAAGATTGTATTTTAAACATAACCAATAGAGATGAGACCAAACCTCCATAATAATAAGGCTTCAAGATGAAATCCTTTCTACTCCCAAGTGCTCTTAAAATGGAGATGAGACACTGAAGAAGTCATCTTTGTAGCCATTGTTTATTCTTGATGGCACAAATCTTAGTGACTAATACAAAAATTCTGCTGAAATAAGGATAGATTTGGTGAATGTGTGTAATATTTCTCCCTTCTTCTTGCCTTGAAAACCTCTGCCTTCAGAAAGTTCATGAGTTAGCAAGACAGTTCTGTAACTCTTCTATCTATAACCATCTTTGTTAATTTGTCTTAAAATGAATAAACAGGCCAAAGTAGGGCCGTTTTCTAGCACTATAAAAGAAAAGCAATGCCTGAAACAACCTTTTGGAATTGGTGAGTGACTAAGAAGTGAAAAAGAACACATTTAGATGTTTTCTAAATATTATGAACACACATGAATCAAAAAAGCTCAGGGGTAGGCTTCAATAGCTGCAGCCATCTAATAATCGGTTATGAGATGCCACAAAAATTGGTCTGGGAGAAAAAGTCTGGTAAGGTTATGTATATAATTTCATACTGAATTGTAATTTTTTGGGACAGATGCTAATGTTCAGTTTGAGGCTGCCAACATAGAAAAAGAACCATAGCCCACATCCATTAAAGCATAGTTGTATTTTTTTGTCTTAGGTTTTAGAGTATTACTGATTATGTTTGCCATTTAAATGTATGCATTTTTAATAAAATTATCTTAATATTTAAACTGTGTTATGATTTTATACTGAAATTTTTGAAGATGGTAAGATGAAAGGAAATTTGAGAAAAGTTCCATTTTATTTCCATTTAATTGAAGTATGTGATTAAGTAATCTAAATCACAATATTCAGCCACAGTTCCCTCCAGTCCACACAGAACAGTCATGTCTAGCCTTGGAGAAAAGCTCATACCTGTCTCAGTTCTGATAGTCCCTTAAGGATTGCTTGCTGTCTATCTCTCTTTTTCAGCAAGTTAGGATTAAGAAGTGGATCCTTGACTTGGTCACAGCTGAATAGCTGTTCTTGGTCACAATCTAAGATAAAATTAACAAAGAATTAAATACTTTTCTAATAATATAGCCTTAGGCTGTAGTATATGGATTCATTTTATAAATCTGTATGCTGGGGAAAGTACAGATGCATAAAATCTTAAAATTCATTCTACCATACAAGGCATACATTACAAGATACTTTCTAGGACTAGGTGCAGATGTTACACACAAAATTAGGGTTAGGGGGTAACATACTAATCTTCAGTTTTCTTAGAAGAATACATGGTTTACTTACCATAGGAATTATTTTGGTACTGAGGGTCCTCAGTTGAAGACCTAGACAGTGGTGCATCTGGATCCAGGTAATAGATCTCATTTGTTCGAACATAGGGAATAAAATGGGGCAATTCAGGCATCCCTCCTGATAATTCTGTTGGACTATCTCCTAGCATCAGATTCTCTCTTTCATAGCTACTATTTTTTAGTGGTAAGTGGAATGCAGTAGTCTGAGTTTGTTGTGTCCTGCTTTTCATTGGTGGAACTGGTGATGATTGAAACCTATTTTTAAAAAATAGTCATAAATTTTAATAAGAAATTGTGTATTTTAAACACATCTCTTTAATCAAATTTCAAGTTTTTTGAAATGTACCTGTACCAGCTTTAGAAGCCTCATGTTAATATCCTAAATTTGACATTTTACCAGCCTTAAGCTAAGGATATATATATATTTCATATAATAGAGAAAAATGGCTGGATTCTAAAATTGGTGGTAGCTGGGTTAATTTAAGCCTCATTTCTTAGATAATTCATCATAAACTCACTCCTCACCATCTTAACTAAATTTACTATTATACTGACTTCTGAGGCAACTCTAAACTACTAGTTCGTACATACAAGTCACAAAATATTTGTAAGTTTTAAATCTCCCGTTGCTTAACTGAATTTCTCATTCTTTACCAATCCCTCATTTTCTTCCCCAACCTAAGTAGAATGCCTACTGCATTGTAGATGCATCTAGAAAATCAACAGTTAAATCCTAATAGAAAACATCACCCACATTCCTACTTTGGCCCAGTCTAGCTAAAATGCTAGCCTATCCCTTGGACCTGTGCTCCTCGTCTTTTTGTAATTACTGTCTTTATGCACTAGGTGCCTAATCTCACCTAGATTTTTGAGCAAATGTTTTGTAGCGCTTGTTGCATGCATAAACTACTAAGTAGTTATAGAAATAACCCACATACCTTTCTTTGCTGAATGAATAAATTTTCTGAGGTGGTTCTTCCTAAAAGATGAATATATAAAACAAGTTTTTAGTTTTTTGCTATGTCCTCAGGTACTTCAATGGTTATTGTTGAAGTAATCTGAGGACAGTATTTGAGTGGCATAGTAGATAATGGAATGGGACATTTAGTAGTTTTCCAGTCAAACCAGTAATTCCAAATTCTAGTTGGCCACTGAATATAACCAAGGGTCTTGCATAGGTATTGAAATATTGAAGAGCATTCAGTTGTAAGTACAAACTGTAAAGGGCCACGAAGGAAACACTTTTCAGTTTTTTGGGCCCTGTGGTTTCTGCCACACCTACTCACCTATAGATTGCACAGTAAAGTCGAAAATGACTAAGCAGAGCTATGTTCCTCTAAAACTGCCAAAATAGTCTGCAAAATGGATTTGCCCACAGGCTATCGTTTGCTGTTAGCTTGTTTAGACATGGAACACTTTGGCTTTAAATTGAGAAATGAAAGTAAGATGCGCTTTTACCTTTTTGAACAGATGCCACCTGACCACTGGATCAGTTTCTTGAGATGGATGAATTTCTGGTGACGTGCCTCTATTTTGACAAAGGTGCTCAGGGTTATTTCTCTCTACCAAATGAAGCAGTTCCATCTGTCGTCGTATCTTTTTTTCTTCTCTCTGCTTTTGAAGCTGTTTAGGGTACTTTTCTGATGCTGGAACATACCTTTTGAGAGGCTTGCTTATATTCCAATCAGGCCTCTTAAGACATTGCTTTGTATGTTTTATTTGTTTCTTCTCTGTTCTTAAAAAGTGATTACACTGGTCATAACAACTGTTTTCTTTTTCTAAGTTGGCTTCTTTATCCTCACTTAGTTCTTGCTTGTCTTTGTTAAACTGTCTGCTAAATTCTGCAGCCATCTCAGATGAACAATTTATAACTTCTCTCTCTATTGATCCACAGTGTGGTTCAGCACTGGTAAATAGTCCTGTGTTAAAGCCATCTAAAAAAAGTTTTTTAGGTATTTTTAAAAAGGCGTATATATAACAATTTTAATCATTTCCTTTAAGACTTTAGAAGTGAAACTGAAAGAACAGCTGATGACTGCACTATGCACTGGCAACCACCATTCTACTTCGTCTATAAATTGACCTTGATAAAGGAAATTTTGTTTGCTTTGAGACTTGCTTATTCATTTGGCAGAATACTCAAAGTTTTGCCCATGTTGTGGTGTGTACTTCATAATTTTGACTAATATTTTGTTGTATAGTACACCCATTCATTTGTACAGATAGCTTGCTTCCACCTTTTGAGTTGTTGAAAATATTGCTGCTATAAACTCAGGTATCCAAGTGTATCTTTGAGACCTTACTTTTTCTTTTTTGGGTGTATACCAGAAGTGAAACTGCTGAGTGATACGGTAATTCCATTTTTAATGTTTTAAAGAAAGGCCATATTGTTTTCTATAGCAGCTATACCATTTTACATTTTAGTTAGCAGTACACAGAGGCAATAATTTCTCCAAAACCTCCACTTTCATCACTCCGAAGCATGTATTTCAGTGGCACAAGCAGATCCACAATGCCATAAAACCAGCATCACCGTCTGCTTCACATGATGTGGCTCGTCTATGTGTTACTGACATAAAGCCCAAAAGGCAGAAAGTAGTCCAGTGTTAAGATTTCCTTAAGACATCTTGGGTTTGAGACAGTGGTTTGAATAGGGATATTTCCTATCTTACAAACAGTGAAACTGGGTTTTGTTTCTAATTTACTACTTTATCCTCATAGCCACTAGTACTGACAAGGTCAAGTGGTAATGAAATGGCTTCAAGAAAAGCTGGGTGTAGTAGTGTATGTCAGTAGTCCCACTGACTCAGAAGATCAAGGCAGAATCAGATGAGCCCATAGGTTTGAGACCAGCCCAGGCAATACAGCCTATGCCATGCAAAATTTCTAAAAACAAGTGAAGGGCTGAAGGATTCCTAAGCACAGATAATATATTAAAATGATACCCAAAATGTTGCCTTATTACATGGCAAAAAGCTTAAAACCATTTGCACATGTAAAGATACTCAGTATTAGCTGTCACTGGGGCAATGCAAATCAATACCACTTAAGATATCGTTTTAAAGCCTCTGGCTAGTGTGGTGGTACACGCCTGTTATCCCAGCACTCAGGAGGCTGAGGCAGGAAGATCTCCATTGAGGCCAGCCTGAACTACATAGAAGACTGTCTCAAAAAAAAACTAAGACAAAACCTCCTTGGAAAAAGAAATCATGAAATCAGCAACTTTATATAGTATTTGTGGGAATGTAAATGATACAGTTGTTTTACAGTTCAGTAGTTCTTCCACATGCTGCAAACGGTTACTGACTCAACATGCAAATACGTATGTGTTCACAGCAACATATACATAAAAAGTGGGAATAAATGTCCATGAATTCGTGAATGAACAAAAACAGATATGACCCAACAATAAAAAGGAATGAAACAGTGATAAAATAATTTATACTACAGCAAGGGTGAACCTTAAACAGCATGCTAAAGAGAAGCCAGACAAATAAAAGGCCACTTGGCAATATTGCAGTTGCATGAAATATCCGGAATAGGCTAATATTCTAAGACAGAACATGAACTGGAGGAAAGGGGAAGCAGAAAATTGCTAATGGGTTACTAGGTTTCTTCTGAGTGATGAAAAGATTCTCGCAGCTGATTATGGTTATGAATGCACAAGTGTGAATATTCTAAACTACAAAAATGTAGTTTTTGAAGAGTAAAAACCCTTCAAAAGGATGGCATCTCAAAACTTAAAAATCAAGACATGCCTTTTTTTTTCTCTTTTTTTTTTTTTGTCTTTTGGAGACAGGGACTTGCTGTGCAGTTCAGGCTGGCCGTGGGCTCATTTTGTAGCCCAGACTGGTCTTGAACTTGCAAATGATTCTCTTGCCTCAACTTCCCAAGTGCCGGGATTACAGGAGTGTGCCACCACACCTGGTTTTATTTTCTTAAAAACTTCAAATTTCTTGAACTTTTAAACTTTGAGTGGTAAAAAAAAAATGCTAACTGCTTTGTGATTTTTATTTCCAAATTTAAAATCTAATAAAAAAATAACCACACGAATACCTGTTTGCACACCAGTATCCTTCTTGGGAGAAGTCGCAGAGCTGATACATGTATCTGTTCTACCACCAGCTTCATCAGAGCCGCATCTTGAATTTGAAGAGCTAATGGATGTATCAGCTGGCAAAGAGAAATACATTATCTCAGAACAGCACTTTTGAATTACTGGTAGTGGAAATTGGACAGAAGGGGCAGAATACAGCTAACTGGTGGTGCTTGTCTGACATGCCTAAGAGTCCTGGGTTCAATTCTTAGCACTGAAAAGGTTTTAGATAGCAAGAACTATGTATAGCGGTAAGTAAACCCAAGACTCAATTGAATCGGAATGAGTGGTACAGAAAACATTTAGAACGATGTGCATAAATTTCCTACAAAAAGTTAATTGCATCTTTATCCTTCACTGAATTTAGGGAGATAACTTGGCAATTTTTTTTAAAGCAGAATATACTTACTGAGAGAATGAAAGCTTCTGTCTAAAAGAGAGACAGGAGGAATCCTAAGTAGGCTGCTGAGAATCCCACCTTCTCTGGGGATTTTTATCGAACAGAACCATGCGGTGAGGTGGGTCCAAGGTGGAAAAAATGGGAACTCGCGAGGCAAGCAGACATGAGTAGGGCAGAAATAATTATTTTCTTAGAAAAAATGAGAACAAAACTGCACCTTCTCCCTGTGTCACAGGATTATTGTAATAGGTGAAAGACATATTGTATATGTAAGGCAATTTACTCCTATTTTAAAGGTCAGACTAGTTTAAGATCTGAAATACCTTTAAAAATATTTAATAGGTCTATTCAGGTGTATTTTTAATAATAGGCAAATATTTAAAATCATTCTCAAAAACTATCATAAATAAAATTTTGGTTAATTACTTACCACCAAGATTTTTAGCCAATCTGGAAGTATCATGTCCCTTCTGAATCAGTTCTCGGATTCTCTGTTCTTGTTTTAGTCTCTGAGCCAGCTCTTGTGCTCTCTGCATTGTCTGGAAGAGCTCACTTGTCTTCAGAGCCATGATTTCCTGTTAACATCAGCATGTACAACTGTCAAACTTACTACAGACTTGACTATTCTCTCAGCAGTATGTTCTGGCCTTTGCCAGGGTATTTAACAGTTAACAGGGCCCGCAAATGGAGCTTACGTTTATTTTTGAGAAGGGGTCTCATTGTGTGGCCCAGGCTGGGCTCTAACCTGTGACCCATGGCCTCCCCAAGACCTGGGATTATAGATGTATGCCATCATGCCTGGCTGCAGCTTACATTTTAATGTATTTTTCCACAACCATATCAAATCACAAATATAAGTACTATTTTTATCCATCTAAAGTTCACCCATACTGTTTTCAAAGTTTTGACAAGTGACGGTCAACTTCCTAATTGTATTAAGGTGACAAATGAGAAAAGGTAAGCCTGTCTATGTCACAAGCAATGTGAACAAATAATGCTTTTCTCATGCATATATGGTTACTTCTTATGGGACAACGATATAACCAGCTTATTCAACCCAAACAAATTGGAAGCCAGACCCTCTACCTTTACCAGTCAGTTGTTGAGTACAAGATGTCAAATTGGAAAAGACAAAAGATGTAGCCTGTGCTCTACTCCCTCTGCCCCCAGACAAGAGTACTGAGACCAGGGTCTTCATGCTGAACCACACCCATCTTCTTTTATCTTTCTTAGTTGAGACTTCTTGCTAAGCCACCCTGCCTGGGCTCAAACTTGTGATCCTCTTGCTTCAGCCTCCCAGACCACTGGGACCTCAGGAATGTGTCACAATATCTAGTTGTGTTCTACTATCTAAACCTTTAAATCTCTGGCAACTGAATGTCACTGTGCTTTGTTTTTGTCAGGTTAGCTGAAACATGGCACTTGCTACCATGCTAACCTATCCTGTCTGAATCACTAAGTTCTCTTGGCCAGCCAGGTATCTTTGAAATTAAAAAAAGCCGTTACCTGGCACAGAGGAAATCACTAACACAGCCACAAACTGTACTATTAATCCAATTACTCTGAAAAAATATGCTTATGAACTGGACATGGTGGAACGCACTTATAATCCCAGCACTTTGGGTGACTGAGGCAGGAGGATCACAAATTCGAGCCCTGCCTGGGGAATTTAGCGACTTAGCAAGACCCTATCTCAAAATAAAAATAAAAAAGACTAGTGATGTAGTTCAATGTGAAGACACTGGGTTTAATTCACAATACTCTGTTTATACGTTGATATGGATAGAAAGACCAATCATTTTTCTAATAGCTACAATTAATAATCATACTCCAAAGGAAGACAAATTGAGTATCTAAGACACCACAATCAAGCACAGGGTAATTTTAACTTTGTACTGTAACTGATCTTGACCTCCCACCTACCAGAAAGAAAAAGCCAAAGCAACATAGCATTTGAGAATTGCATCATACAAAATAAAACTTTCTCAAGCTCCTCCACACATAGCTTTTAATGTCTCCACAAAAGCTTTGTAATTTCAAACTGCATAAAGATGCTGAACTTCTAAGTTAACTGCCTTCAAAAATACATTTTATTCTAAAATGTTAACAGCTAAAATATGAAGACCTACTTCCTTTTGTTTTTGCTTAAGAATATCTTCTTCATACTGTTTCTGCATCTCTTCTTGTTCCCGTGCTAGGCGACGATCCTCCTCTTGTTCTTCCTTCTTTCTCTGCTCTTCTTCCAACAGCTTTCTCCTGCGTTTCTCTTCCACCTGAGCAGTGATTGCTTTCTAGTAATAAATAATCACATAACTTATTGCCACAAAAATCTGTGAAGCATTTATTCTGGTGACTCAATAAATTTTTATCAGTTCCTGTATATACAGGAAATTCTATATATGAATAAAATTAAAAACATAAACTTGCAATGTATTTTTGATATCTCTGAGCTCTCCATGCTTTTTTTTTTCCAAAATTATTGTCTTTTTGAGACAGAGTCTCACTATGCATCGAACTCACAATAATCCTACTGCCTCAGCCTCCCAAGTGCGATCTATTTTATTTTAAAAAGAAAAACTCAAAACTTTTAAAACACAATAATTAGGGGGTAACAATAGTATATACACTGTGATACACACACACACATACACACATACACACACATAGTGGTTTTGCTTCAACTCTAGGAAGGAAGGCTATTAGGAAGACTGACAAGTTCATTCCTTAGCATAATGTCTGGTAAATGGCAGATGGTCTATGAACTGTTCAATGAACTAAAAAAAGTGTACCACTATGCCAAATTATTGACATCTCACACGTTACAAAATTGTTCAGCCAGGCACATGCCTACAGAACCACCTATCTTAGAAGGTAAAGTAGAAGGCTCATTTGAGCCTAGAATTTAGAAGACATCGTACCAATACCTCTCCTCACAGATCAAAAGAAAGTGAAGAAAATTCTGATTTCAGAAAGGAGATGACAAAAGAGTCAACATTTGAGGCCAGCCTGTACTACACAGTGAGACCCTGTGTCAAAAACCCAGGAAAAAAAAAGGCAACTACAAAAAGTGATCCAGATATTTAAGTCTTTTGGGATTCTTAATCATAGCTATTTCAAATTCCCGTATTATTTTTATTCAAAGAACTAATTATCACCCCGAACAGAACTAAGGCAATAAATTGATATAAAATACACTAATTGGGTATGGTGGTGCGTGTCCAAAATTCCAGCACATGGAAGGCTGAGGCAAGAGGATCACTGCAAGTTCAAGGGCAGCCTGGGCTACTCAGTGAGTTTAAGACCAGCTTGAACTTGTTTCAAAAAACAAAAAAATAAATCCAACACTAATAATCTAAGACAGTACAAATTCTTTTAACATAGTCCTCATTTAATGACTAAGTCCAGTTCCTGTTACTAGGTCATTAAAATTAATTGGTCACTAAATGAGGAAATGTATATACTATGTACATTATAATATTCAGAACAGACATGGTCAAAGGAGACTCCAACTTAACGACTCTGCTTTTCTAACTGTTACATGCAGTACTGCAATGTATAACAACATAAATCTGCAGTGCTGTATAAACAAGGCACACTGTACCAAAAAAAAAAGATGTTACAACTCCAGATGGTGGATCATTAAGTCCAAACAATATGGCTTAGTCATAAGTCTTAACAGTCATTAGCCAGGTAGGTTGTTAACAAGGTAGGTCATTAGATGAGGAATTTCTGTATAACACACACACACACACACACACACACACACAACTGCACACTGACCTACATCTCCAGTGCTTTTCATAAATCTTACTTTGAGACAGGGTCTTACTAAGTCACTATGTTGCCCAGGCTGGGCTTGAACTTGTAATCCTCTTGCTTGAGTGTTGAGATTACAGACATGTATCACCATGCTTGATGTGTAGCTTATATATAAAGACTTTTCCTATTGGAAGGCAGGTAGCTGTGGTATATAATACTGTCTGGTACTTTGCATAAGCCTAATTCAAACAGTATATCAGCTGGAATAGAGATTGGGTTTGCACTGGATGAAATAGGGCCCTGATATGGTACAATCATATCAGAATTTTAATTTCCATCTACTTAGGTATATGTTGGCCAAGATTATTATTAATTATTAAGGCAAAAATCTATGTTTTCCTATGTAATACCTGATGTTCTAACTGTTTTTGTCGCCGTCTGTCTCGTTCTTCAATCTGTGCTGGGTCCAACAGAGCAGTCATAGAGCGAAGAAAGCTGACAAGATAGATTAAATATTCAGAATTCCAAAAAAATGTAGCTTGTGGTACATCCACTAATCATTTCTATTTCAAAGAAAATTACCAAACCTGAAGTCAGTTAGACATATTAATAGTTCTATTAAAACACACATCTTAAAAATCTGTAAGTAACCGAAGAATGAACTTACTTTGTTTTCTGATTGTTTGCCACAGCCACATCACTAACAGGCTTTGCTACCTGCTCATCCTCTGAAGGTTCAAGCTGCCTTCTGGTTGTAGATGTATAAATACTGCCAACATCAGCCAGTGTCCTAGTGTCAGGAGAGACACAGAAGTACTCTGGCTGTCTGTATGTTGACTGAGATGGAGAGCACAGCTGAGACCGAGAATCAGGATGACTCTTTAATGAATCAGAATGCACCGCCCATTGATCATGTTCTTCACCCTAATTGTGCCAAACAGAATTGCTGACAAATTTCCCAATTATTGTCACACAGAATCCTAGATGACAAAACATGATTTCTAAATGTCACTAAGCAGTAAGCATTGTTTTAATAAAAATTAAACATATTTTCATTTCCTTATACATTTGGACAACTAGCTTGAAAATGTAAGAAATTCAAAGAATTAAAAATTTCTTTGAAAATTAAAAGAAATTTAACAAAATCACATTACGTATATTCAAGAAAAATTGGTCAATGGCAAATGTAGAATTTAAATACTGTGGTCTAGTCAAGCAGCTTCCAAACATCTGTAAGTTTATATGACTAAAGACAGTTTTTTTCCCTTATAACCACAAAATCTCCTGTTACCTTTGAATGTGTAAATGTTTCCTGTTTTCCTTTGCTTCATCTACCTGTTCATTTAACTCCAGTAGTATTACATCCTAAACCATCAAACCAACTAAAGTTAAATTTTTTCTAAACTACTTTATAGATGGAAAACTTGCCATTTAAACTGATACATTCCAGTAATGCAGAAGTATATAACTTCAAAAGAATTTCCTATAGTACTAAGTAGATATATTCTGATTTTCAGCACCATATTTTAAACATAATATTTAGTACAGGGATATATAAGTATAAAATATTCCTTTTAATTCTCCACTTGACACAGTCTATAAAATGTAGGTTAGGGAAGTAACAGTAGTGACTTTTAAAGACAGCATAGCTTCTTTGATCTTGTTTATGTGATGTATTACATTTATTGACATATATGTTGAACATCCCTACATTTCATGATATATGATCTTTTTGATAAAATGCTGCATTCTTCATTACACCATACACCTGTCCACTCTTGACTACCTGGCAGGCATAAAAGATAGGGCTGGTGGTGATCCAGGGCACAGAACAGGATCTCCCAAGATGAACAACAAAATAAAGGAATGGAAATCACCCTTAAAAATTACTTTAGGAATATGGCCATTTTGACAATACTGATTCTACCTGTCCAACAGCAGGGAACATCTTTCTATTTTGTGATGTTCTCTTCAATTTCCTTCTACAGAGTACTAGAATTTTCTTGGTAGAGACATTTCATTTTAATGGCTGTTAATTCCTAGTTATTTCATTTTTCTTCATGCTACTATGACATTAATTTTATAAATTTCATTCTGTTGTCAGTGTACACGAAGGCTAATCATTTTTGTGTTAATTTTGTATCCTGCTGCATTGCTGACATTCATTATTAAGTTTTTTGTCAGAATTCTTTGGATCGTCTATGTAAATTATCATGTTATCTGGGAATAGTGATACTGACTTCCCCTTATCCTATAACTTTTATTTCTCTTGCCTAATTGCTTTGGTTAATGTTTTAAGCATTATGTTGAATAGAAGAGGTGACAGTGGACATCTTGTCTTGTTCCGGATTTTAGGGGGAATGCTTTGTTTTTTCCCTTTTAGTTATGATGGTGGCTATTGGTTTCATTATATATAGCTTTCCTTGTATTCAGGTGTGGCCTTTCTATGCCCGTTTTTATTTTTATTTATTTTTGAACCATGAAAGGGTGTTAGATTTTGTTAAAAGCCTTCTCTGCACCTAGTGATGAGACAATATGGTTTCTGATCTTGGTTATGTAATGTATTACATTCATTGACTTATATATGTTGAACCATCCCTACATTTCTGGGATAAAACCTGTCTGATCATGACATATGACCTTTTTGATAAAATGCTGCACTCTATTTGTTAAAATCTTGTTGAGGCTTTTTGCATCTATGTTCATTAAGGAAACTGGCCTATTGATTTTCAGTTTGATCTTTATCTGGTTTTGGGATCAGGGTGATACTGGCTTCCATAAATCAGTTTGGGAACAATCGATTCCTTTCAATTTCTTTGAAGACCTTAAGGACTGTAATAGTTAAATGATCATATCAACTTGAGAAAGAAACACCCAATTAAGTTGGTTCAGCATAGTGTTGGTTGTGAAAGACCCACCTTAGGGAAGATTCTTGCCAGAATGCTATAAAAGGGAAACAAAAAAGGCAGGCTTGTTTCTGTTATTTGGAGGAGCTCTAGTCTGCCTTCGCCTTAGATGTCACTTCTTAGCTCCTAGTACAAACTCTTCAGTCTCTAGCACATACCCTTCATCTTCCATTGCAGACCCCAGGTCCTCCTGACATGGACTCAGCTCTTCTACACCTGATTCTGAGGGCCACCACTGTAAATCAATCTTGTGATCTTATGTATTTGTATATTTTGCACTAAATCTGTTTCTCTAGCTGAGTGTAGTGGCACATACCTGTAATCTCAGCATTTGGGAGGCTGACAGGAGGGTGGTTAGAAGTTCAAGGCCAGGCTGGGTTACACTGAGTTCATGCCCACACTGAACTACATAGTGAGACCCTTTCTCAAACAAAACACTTTAACAAAAAATAAATGTATCAATAGTAAGCACTGACTGGTACAGATTTGGATTCCTAGAGAAGGGTTGCTGTTGTGACTACACGTAACTATGTGGTTCAGAAGCCTTTGTAAGTGGGAACTGGTGGGAAGTGTTTGGAGATGCCAGGTAAAGCACAGTCCTAGAATGATGTAAGCTGAATTTGATGAGAGATTCTGAGCAGAGCTCTGAAGACCAGAAATGCTGCCGGTAAAGACCAGCGTCAGGATGTTTCTGCTGGGAAGAACTGCATTGGTAGTTGTACTGTAGATCATATGTTATGCTTTGACAGAAAAATCTGTCTGCATTCTGCTCATGTTCAGAGATTTTGCTGGAGACTAAAGGTGGGGGACTAATTAATCTTGCAGAAGAAATTTCAAGATAGCCTAATGTTTAGGAGGTGGCATGGCTACTGTTGGGGGTTTTAATCAGATCTATGTTGAGAATCAAGAGTCAGCACTCAGCAGAATGATTTAAAACACCTTGAGTTTGGTCAGACAGGAAATTTAGGAAAGCCGTGGATTGCAAACATGGGGGACAGCAGAGATTAACTGCTGAGAAGGAACAGGGTAATGAAAAAGATGGCCTGAGTACATTATAGGAGACAGCAGGGCTCTGGAAAGAATCTGCTTTGCTACAACCGGCAACAGCCTAGAGAACATGCTCCTCACACTGGGTTCAGAGTGCTCAGCGACCCAGGCATTGATCCCTGCAATCAGCAGAGACGGGCTGCTGCTCCAGCAGACAGCAGACACTGATGCCATCTGCATAGTGCTGATGTGCTCAGCAACCCAGGCTCTCAATTCCTGGGCTCAGCAGAGACTGGCTGCTGCTCCAGCAGGCAGCAGACACTGATACCGTCTGCACAGTGCTGATTTTAGGTGTACACAGAACCCATGAGTTGTGGGGCCAGGAAGGCTTCCATCTGGATTTTAGTGTGCCTGATATGGCAGCTAGTCAGTGTGTGAAGCTGTGAGTGTGAGACTGAAGGTACAGAAGAGGTCCCAGGAGGTCTGAAAAGCCAGAAGCATGAATTTTCTGAGAAAAGAGTGAGCAAAGCTGGCCCTAAGAAGGAGCCATGGGAGCTGCAAGCTTTGGCACTTCCACAGTGGTGGAGCCACTCAAGCGCTCTGGGGTCCAGTATTCCCACAGACTATCACAAATGCTGGACATGTGACTGAGACTTAATGTTGCCCTGATGGGTTTGGGACTTGCTTTGGATGTGTTTGTTTCTATCCTCCTCTTTGTACCTTTTGGAATGATGTTTGTCTTGTACCACTGTATGTTGGAATGTTCAACTTTCATTTGTACAGGGTCTCACAGCTAAAAGTTCACCTTGAATCTCAGAGGAATCTTTAGACTTGGGAAATGCTAAAGCTGTTAGAACTTTGGCAGATCTTGGAGATGGACTAACTGCCTTTCTTTCATAAATGAGGATTTAGGGGGTCAGGAATGGAAATGGTATGGCTTGTGTCTAGATGTTTCTCCAAAACCTTATGTGGTCATAGGGGGGGCTTTTTAGAGATGGGTGGGTCTATTTGTGATGCTGGAATTAAGGATGAGTGATTACAAAATTAGTTCATTGAGTGATTTGGTCAATGAACTTCCGGGTGTGGGTGGGCTCCAGAAACGGAAAGGGGAGAAGCAGCTGTGCTGCTGCTACTTTTCTTCTGATGCCTTCTTGCCTTCTGTCATAATGCCCCTCTGTCATGCCACCTTGCCTTGGAGTCAGTCAACTATGAATTGGAACCTCTACAAACTCTGAGACAAAAATAAATCTTTCTCTCTTTAACTTTGGGTGCCAGGTATTTTGTATCAGCAATGAGAAAGCTAACTAAGACAAGGAGTACTGACATAATATCCTGAAAGGTTTTGTATAATTCAGCAGTGAATCCATCAGGTCCTGGGCGTTTAGTTGATGGAATCTTTATTCCTATGTTGGGCTGGGGATTTAGCTCAGCGGCATAAGTGCCTGCCTTCTAAGTGTGCGGTTGTGAGTTTGATCCCTGGTACCGATAAAAAAAAAAGACAAAAAAAATTAAATTTATTCCTATGTTGATTTTATTGCTTGTTATTGAGTCATTAAGCATATTTATGTATTGTTGGATTTTGGTAATTTGTGTATGTCTAGTAATCTGCCCATTTCTTCCAAATTTGTTAATTTGTTGGAATACAATTTTTAAAAGTAGTTTTTATCTTCTGGATTTCTACAGTGTCTGTTCTGATTTCACTTTTTTCATTTCTTGATTACCCTTGGTAAGCCTGAATAGGGGATTTTGTATGATTTCCATACCCTTCTTTTTAATACTTTATCACCTTAATCTTGGTTTGGGGCTTCTTTGTTGTTATTTCGCAAGTATCTTAACATTTTTTGTAAGGCTGTCTACCTGAACTTGATTGTTTTCCTAATGTGAGCATGGACTATAATGAATTTTCCTCTTAGAACTGTTTTTATAGTGTCCCGGACATTTTGATGTGTTGTACCTTTGCCATTAATTTTCAGAAATTTAATGTACACACTACGTGCCAGAACATGAGCCAATATTAGTAATATCAATAAG